TAAACAGAGCCAGCCACAGAGCAAACACAGGGCCCCCAGCCCTTGCCCTGGCTCTCACGCACAGCAGCTTTCCACAGCCCCTCCCTCGCCCCGCTCTTCCAGGCACTGTCCTAGGTGGACCTCCCAATCCTGGGACAGGGACTGGCTCTGCTGGGGCCCTTCTCACTTTAAGGCAAATCTCTGGGGCTCCTGCCAGGGCTGTCCCATCTAAAGCCTGAACAACCTCACTAGCCACAGTCTGAGTTCCAGAAAACCACTCACTAACAAGGAGAGCATCCCAGAGGGTCAGGAAGCAGTCAGGGGCTCCCCGAACAAAGGATCCAGGCTGCTGGCAGAGAAGCTGCTGGTTAATAAACCAAGCGAACACCACCCTGGGTGCAACTGCCCAAAGAACTCCACAAGAATTATAAAGGCAGGTCCCAGTGAAATCCTAAAATCATCTTTTAACACATTTGCAAAAGTGTTGAGCCGTCCATTCCTTAATAGTTATCAACTATCAGCTGTCACATCAACTCTGCAAGGTAAGTATAAGAAACCAATGCTCGGAGAAGATAAAATGATTTGCCTATGAACACAGTACTCAGAAGTGACAGAGGGGATCTGCCTCTAAATCCAGGATTCTTTCTGTAATACTGTAACTAAAGATGGTGTTGCCCAATCGGTGTGGCTTAGTTGTTGAGTGTTGTCCCATGCACCAAGAGGTCAAGGGTTCAATTCCCGATCAGGGCACATGCCTGAGTTGCAGGCTTGATCCCCAGTAGGGGGTGTGTAGGAAGCAGCCAATCAATGTTTCTTTCTCTCCCTCTAAAATCAATTAAAAAACAAACAAACAAAAAATAAAACCCACATAAAGATGGTTTCAACTGAGTGGCTGAAATTTTTCTCAGATTTCATTTCAAGGAAGTCTAATTACTATTCAGGGAATTTCCAAATCTGACTGTTCTGAATGGAGCTACTCCTTGTCCAAGTGAAAAAGTCATTTCCAACATGAAAAATTCCAAGCCTCCTTTAGCTTTACTCAACAGTCTACAGTAGCTCCTTTTTTTTTTTTTTTTTTTTTTTGAGGATTCTTGGCTTCTTAGCATTGTCCAAAAATACCCCCACAAATTTAAAGTTGGTGCCATTGGGACAGGAGAGTTCCTCAAGGGGAGGGGACACCAGTTACTACTGTCCATTTTTAGGTCCATGTGGGAGGAGACCATGACAGGGGGAACAGAAAGAAGCTGGGACTCACCCCTTCTGATCAGAGCAGCCATGAGCTCAGTGAGGAAGCAAACCTGCCTCCTCTTCCCTGTAGGAGCTAGATGGACATGGAAATACCAGGGCACCTTCACAGAGCCTGAGTCAAGGTAAGCCACAGTCCACAGACCACGAGAGGTCACCTGCTACAGCTGGTCAGCTCACAGAAGAGCAAAAAGGGGAACCTTCCACTCCAGACCCAGCCAAAGGAAGGTAGTGTGTGTGACCAGGTTTGGAAAGGCTTTTACCTCTGCTCACTCTGACTCCACTCTCTTGCTGCTTTGGAGACCCACAAAGCACCGTGCTGACGTTGATCTGCCTCCGATTCCTTGCTGGTCCATCCAGAGGAGCCACCTTGAACTGATCACTTGAGTAACCAGGCTAGACCTGCATGCTCTTCGGGAAATATGGCCAGCATAAACTGACACCCAGATAATTTGCAACCTTTTCTTTTTTTTTTCTTTATAATTTCTTTTTCTTTAAAATTTCTTTTTCTTTATTGACTTCAGAGAGTGAGGAAGGGAAAGGGAAAGAGAGATAGAAACATCGATGAGAGAGAACATGGGCCGCCTCCTGCATGCCCCCCACTAGGAATTGGGCCCACAACCTGGTCATGTGCCCTGACCTGGAATCGAACCGGTGACCTCTTGGTGCATAGGTCTATGCTCAGCCACTGAGTCACACCAGCCAGGCTGCAACCTTTTCAATCTGGGATCATGCTAACGTACTTGATTTGCCATAATGACATCCTATAATGTACTACCCATCATCATAACCCCTCCCTCAGCTCCACATCTCCTAGGGAGAAGGTTTCCCCTGATACAGAAAAAGAATAACTGAGGTTTGAACCAGGGACGAAAGTCAAAGCTCACACTCCCTATCCGTCTCAGGGATTACTGGCCACGGTCTGGCTCTGGGACACTATCCCAGATCCAAGAACAAAGAAGATGGCCAGGCCCCTTCAACTTCTTACTACCTCTTGGGTTGTCTTTCGTGGCTCTCTCAACTCAGCATACAGTGATGGGGAATGACCATCATTCTCTGAGGAGAACGTACAAGGCCAAAACCCACAGCTGAACAGTTGGGACACCCACTTCTCTGCACAGGAAGGTAGAGGGGAGCTCAGGGAGCAGAGTGATGGGTAGGGTGGGAAAGGTTGAGGGCTGATCAGGATTACAGAGAGACAGAAGGAAATAAGCATTAAAGACCACCTACTGATGTGCCTGGAAGTTTCACAAGTATTATCTCACTTAACCTTCAATTAAAATTCTACGGTATTAGCTCAAATTTACAGAAGAGGAAATAGGCTTAGCAAGGTCAAATGACTTCCCGGTGGCTAGTAGGTGGCAAAACTAGTATTTAAACCTGGGCTTTCTGACCTTATACTCAAAGCCTAAAGACTTAATCCTAAACCACTTCCTTCCTGGGGCCTCAGTCTCCCTGCCTGTAAAGATGAGGGAAAGAAATAAGGAAAGAAGATAAAGGATAAGAATGTAGGAATGTCAACAGTACTTTTCAGATTATTCACATAATAATCAAGTTCAGAAAAAGACTCACTTCTTAAAACCAGCTGCTAAAAGATCCTATGTGTGCAATTATCCTAGTCTTCCCTGCAGGTCGAGCTCCTGGTGAAGGTCTGTGAGCAGCGTTAGTGGGGAGGAGGGGATGTAAAGCAGGAGGACCCCACAGACAAAAAGCTGGTTCTTTGTAATGGAAACTTTGGGAAAACCAGCTCTGGTCTAGAAAGGCTTCACTGGCCAGCTTCCTGACACTGCCAGACAGAAGTAGGTAGCTGGCAGGTGCAAGAGGGGAACAGAGAACTCCAGAGCCAGTATGAGGGGAGGTGCAGAGCAGGGAAGACTCTTCACAGTTAGCTCTTCTGCGCTGCTCCTCCTCCTACCCGGCCGGGGTGGCTCTGGCTGACAGGACAGCATCCTGGCTGGAGCTGAACCATACCCTCAAAGCAGCAGCCCTGGACTGGGGGCAATGAGGCTGAGCAGCAAAGAGCAGGGTCAGACCTTGGGATAAGGGCTGCCTCCTCCTGTTCAGGACTGTCTGGAAGAAAGGGCCCTGGGCTGTGGTCTACTCTATCCTCTCAGCCAGCTCCCAAGCCTGCAGGAGTTCACAGGATGAGGGAATATTCTGGGAAATACCCAGGTCTGCTGAAAATGAAAAAAAGCTGCCTTCCAAACCGTACTCTAGGTGAGTCTGGGAGACCCGCAGGCACTGCGTTCTCCATCACCTCCAGCACCAGGCCTGAGAGCTGTGAGCTGGACTCAGCCACAGGCCTACAACCAGGGTAGAGTGAATGGGCAGGAAGGAGGCCAAGAGAAAAAAATCAAGAATCAGAGTGAGTCCACACATGCACTGAAGGGAAACTCGAAGCCAAGTTTCCACAGAATAATCAAAGGACAGACCAGAGACTGGAGTTTTGGGCCAGAAGAGAAGGCCAAGTTGCCTTATTATCTAAGCACAGGGCCATCCTCCCTTCCTGACCACTAAGGGGCTGGGAGAGCCTACCACGACCAGTTCTAGACCCAAATTTCCCTCAGAACTCCTTGGCAGAAGGTACTAACCATATCTAACTCTTGATAGCCTATTTTCAGGAGCCCCAGAGTCAATTTCTCTCCCCCCTGGAGCTGGCAATGGTTTGGTCCTAGAGTCAACCTTCCACTACCAACAGCTTTCCTCAGGTCACCTGAAATGACCCATCTAACCTCAGGGTCTTGCCCAATCGTTGTGTTATTTGTTTTCCTGATTTCCAGACAAATACACACACACACACACACACACACACACACACACACACACACACATCCTGTGGGCCAGGGACACTGTCCCAGAAATGGTGAACGTGTTCGCTCCCAGGTGGCAAGCCTCTGCTTCAGCGGTGGTTGTACTAGCACAGATCAGCCTCGGGCTCTTCTCCCTGCCTTGGCAGCCCTCCAGAAAGTCAGCCCAGAGAGGACGGGTTAAGTGCCTGGGGGCCGCCCAGACAAGGCTGCAGAGCCCGTGGCACGAGGGCTCCTTCAGCACGAGCCTGCCAGCCGCCGCCTTTGTTGATGGACTCTGCCACATGCTCGACTGACACGGGATGCCCCGCCCTGGCGGTGCTGGTGCCAGGCTGCCGGCCAAGCACCAGGCCAAGCGCCCGGCCGCCGGTCTGGAGAGACTCTCTGAGGTACGCTCTCCAGAGTCCCAGGCCCCAGTTCCCAGACAGAGACAATGAGGAGCAGCCTCCCCAGCTGGAAAGTGTCAGGTTACAACCAGTTCTACCACTTTCCCCCACTCAGGCCCATCCCTCAAGCCTTGGTTATTAGGTTCCCACTGCACCTCAGCCAGGCACCCCCAACTGTGCAGTTTTGCTGCAGCACCCTAAAAATCTTCCCCTTAGGTCTGTAAGGGACAATCTCCCAACTCTGGCTTCAAGAAGACAGAGTTTGTCAAGCAAGTCTGCAAAAAGCCATCCCATTTTCCAGGCAGGAGGGATGGTAACATCTCCCAACAAATCATTCTCATGGAGCCTGAGTTAGAGTGGGCAGACAACAAACTTGGAGCTCAGAGATGAGGGCAGGCATGTTCATCCAGGAGGGCCCATGCAGTCCTCAAGAATCCCAATAGTCAAGGCCAAAACTCTGGGACCGTATTCTTGAGGTCTGGCAAGACAGAGTTGCAGAGGCAGGCCCCAGCCCCCCAGCCCCAACAGACTCAAAACTCCCGCCACCCCCCACCCCCGCCCCAACCCAAGGCCCCATGCCTACTTGCTGCATATGAAGCCGATGAAATTGGTCTGCGATACACTGAAGCTTTCTGGCAATCTGTATCTCGGCTCGATGTTGCCACTGTCCTCCAGGGGGCTGCTCACCAAGGGGCAAGCCTGCAGGGAAACTGGCAGGGAGAGGGAGCCGGAAGCCAGCATTGCCTGCAAACACAGAGGGCCCACATCTCAGTATTCTCCACAACTGCCCCTTCCTCCCCTCGCCTAACACTCTTGGCAGAGACCTGGGGCTGAGGTCTTACCAGGGCAATCTGCCAAATTTGGACAGCCTAACTTGCTTGCTGCCCAAGCATGTAAAAGTTGATGCTGGAAGAACAGAAGGGTATGGTCACTGCCTTCCCTTCAGTTCCACAGTGACAGGCAGTGCCGTGGCAAAGGTAATATGCATGGATGAACTTGCCAACCTTCTGTCCTTATTTACCAAGCTATGCTTGACCACAATTTATTATGCGTGTGTAGCAGGTTGAAGCTCTTCTCTGGAAAAGCACTGGAGGCAGTTCTCCAGAGTTTCTGGGATGAGCAAAGCAAGGGACAGAGAAGGAGAAAACCAAAATGTCTATTCACTTTTTAGTGCAGAGAGGAAGGCTGGACTCAGGTCCTAAAGCTCTGGGCAATGGTACAAAAACTAGGGAGAGAAAACTCCTCAGACCCACAGAATAGCCAAGTTCCTCTCTGGAGGCAGCCCCAGGCAAGACCTCAAGATCGAGATCTGAGCTCCACACTTACCAGGTGCTGGTAACTGAGCCGCCACTAGGGGCACCCGCCTGCCTCCTCCCTGCTTTCCCTCCACCCGCCAGAACTGCTGTGCCAGAATTACCTTATGGGTCAGCTCCCTCTGGGAATAACTGCAGCGTCTCCCCAATCTGTCTATCAGACCCAGCAAGATAGCCTCTGAACCATTCCCCTCCCTCCACAAGCTATTGTGCTAAAAAGAATAAAACAGACTGAGTGTCTAACCCTGCCTTTTTGCCAGAGGAGAGCATATAGCTCATAAAATAAACCATTTAAGTCCACAAATGAAGGGGTCTTGTCCTATGGAGCCTAGGAAAAAGCCCCTTTGCTGACACTGAGTCTAGGCAATCCCAACCTCTTTTTCTAGTTCCCCTTCCAAGCACAGAAAGTACCAAGTGACAAGTGGGGGCCACCTTCTGCCTTCAGGAATCTCCTGTCCCAGAACCAGCTGGGTTTTTCCCTTCAATGTCAACAGCAAGTCACAGAACCCCCAACCTTCTCCAGAGTAATGTTAGCCACTTTATGAAAGGTACATCACTACCGGGACACAAAAGGCTGGACCACTTTACGGGCCACAGGATGTAAAATCCGAAATTCAGGTATCCTCTCTCCAACCCAATGAGACATGGACCCAAGGATTCCTCCCGAAAGGGACAAAAGAACAGAAATAATGGCAGAGCGATTTGCCCTTCTTAGCACCCAACGAGCACAGGTAAGGAGCAGTGACAAGCAGAAAGGCAGCAGGTGAGAGTTGAGGAAATCAATAGACCCTGCTGCTCAATTTGGGGAAGGAAATAGCAAAGGGCAGGTTAGGGGAGGGAAAGTCCCATCTTTTCCCCCAAGTCTCAATGGGAGGAGTCCTGAGGCTAAGAGCACTCACCATAAAAGAGTCGCTGGGGTTCCTCGGTCACCCCACAAGGCAGCATGACACCCTGGCTCGGGGAGGCTGGACTGAGGGTCTGGGTGGCCTTGTCTTCCTGGCTGATGGGTCGAAGCCCAGGGCCACAGCAGTGGGTGAGAGGGAAGAGCTGCAGACGGCTGAGGGGGCAATCCAGCTGGCTCTGGGCAAACAGGTCAGCAGAGGGCAAGCTCCCAGGCTGGGTCCCCAGCTCATCCTCTGGCTGAAACACATCATCTTCCAGCTCCTCCACACACTGAGGTGGATCCATCTCCCCTGTTGGGCGTAATAAGGCATCCAGGCCAACCCTGGAGAGGGAGTTCTAGGGGGGATTCTCCTCTCCTCTTCCTTCTTCCCTCTTCTCCCTTCTTATCTGCGGGAGTGGGGCCAGGTACTCATGACTGATAACGCTGGTGATAATAGTACTGCCAAGGGTGACACCTGTCCCCAAATGTGGACTGCCTCACTGTTCAGGGACTCTCCACACCTCTTTCCTGAGCTCACCCAGAGCCACCCTCCCCTCAGCCTCTTTTGTGACCCAGCTGGTCATGGTCATGAAGTTCAACTACTATCAACTCTGAGCAATGGCAGGGATATGATCAGCTGCTACAAGCACTCAGGGTACCTGGGGAAATGTCAACAAGACATCTGTGAGTGGCTGTGGGAGGGCAGAAGGGTGCTGTGACTGGCTGTCCACATAGTGCTCACAACACTCTCTCTTTCTCTCTCACTCACTGCCCTGAGGAATAACCAACCACCAAGTCTGAACTGAGCTCCAGGCTCAGCAGTAAAAACAAAAGCCAGCCAGCAATCCTAGGGCAGCCAGGTTCCCTCCAAACCTGCTAAGCCCTGCCCAGCTGCCCATCTACTCTAGTCTCCACCCCCCAGCTTGCTCAACACAACAAACAGGCTCCCTGGTGTGGTAACAGTGTGTCCTGGGAGAGAAAGGGAAGAAAGACCCAAGTTAGTCATTGCAGCTGCCCTCTCGGCACAGTAGCGCTATCTGCCCATCACAGCTTGGCCTAGGGGGTTGGTCCAACATCCAGCAAAATGGCTGACCTCCCCCAACTCAGTCAACTCACTTGTCTCCATGATTTCAAATCTTTCCCCACAACCTACCATTCCAGCCAGTGCTAAACCTTAGATTGGTACAACCTCCCTCAAGGAGGAAGTGAAATTTGGCCCTTTCTCTGTGATCTCACTCACTGCCTAAACTACTCAGGCTGTTGATATGAGTTTCTTGGTAATAAAGAAGTTCCTCTTGCTCCACCTGATGACTCGTGGAAGGCTGACCTTGGAGTCACCTAGCATCTTGAGTTCCTAACCAAGCACCTTACACAAAAACTAGGAACCCCAGAGAGCCCCTGGAGCAGCCAGAAGCAACAACCATCTGAATGGTTAAGGATACAGAGAGAAAATGTTTGTCACTGCCAGATTCAATTAGAGATCCCCTGGGAATTCTGCCTCCCAGTTTCTTGCCTTTGAAGAAGAAGCCAAATGGTCTGTGGGTTGGTAAAGTACTTAAAGAAATCTCAGTTAAATTCAGAAATCCTGGCTTTCTCAAATGTAAGCTGTCTCTCTGAGGTGCTTGCTTTTAACCCTCCCTCCATCCCATCTAGTCCTGAAGCTATGGTCCTAGCTCTGCCCTCTTCCCTGAAGAGTGAGGAGATGCCCACTTAGATGGCAAAACAGGCACCTGGTGTTCTTTGAAAAGTGTTTCCCAACGGAGGGGTGGGAGAACTCCAGCTTATCAGCATCAGGAAACAAAGTTTCCTGCTGAAAAGACCAAAGGCTGTCCTGCCAGTCACCTGGCAGGGGCTCCCCTCCGGCCCTTCAACCTCCTCTCAGCAAGCTGGCAATCCCAACCTAAGAAGGGGCCCTCCAAAGCCAGTCACAAGCAGGACTCGTTGTCTTGTTTCTTCCTTTGAAGCCCGTTACCCCCTCCCCCCCGCCCCATACCCCTCCCAGCAAAGCCCCAAAGTTCAACCCTTGCTTGGACTGGACAGTGGGGGAGGTACAGCCAAGGGTGTGGCTCTGCCAGCCATAGGACCCTTCCTACTCTACAAGAACTGCAGGTGGGAGCCTCCGGAGGGCTGCTGGGCAAGGTCAAGTGTAAACTGGAATACAGTAAAAAGACCCTCTTCTCCCCCTCCCCGGAACTGAAGAGGTGATGTCCAAACTGGCTGGAGGCGCACTTCCTGAGGGCACTGCTAGGGAAGGCTTTATTCCTAGCAAGGGGGACTAAAGCCCGCTGTAGCCATCCCAGCCCCTATGGGCTCTAACAGGGATGCTGAACTTAGGCTCCTCCTCCTAGGAGAAGGCAGTAGACACTCTGAACCTCGACAGGGGCTATAATCTGGGAATGCTCACACACAGACTCACACTCACACTCACACAACACACACCAGACCTGGGTGACTCCAGGAGAGAGTCTCGGCCTCCGAGTCGTGATGCCAGGGCTCCGCGCCAGGGTCCAGCGTGACGAGCACTCGGGGGCTTGGCGCCCAGACTCAATTGGGAAGGAGGGAGAAGCCCAGCTGTTAAGGAGAGGGGCCTTCAGACTCCGCAGGGAGGCAGGACGCCCCACAACTTCCTGCCCTACCCCAAAGTAAGATGCAGGGACCGGGCCGTTCTCTGGCGCCCAGGTCGGCTCAGCAGTGCACCGCAGGTTCCCCTGCCCACCTGGACCCAACTCCTTGGGCTCTCAAATGCTACTACCCCCAAGTTGCCTCGTGGTGCAGCGCACCTAGATGTGGGTTCTGCACCCCGTTTCCGCAGCCCAACGCCCCAGTCCTTCATGGTCACCCCAGATACACGCAGCCCAACCCTTCCCGGGCCCCCACGCACAGCGCGACTCCTCTCCCCACTTCCCCGAGGAGGTGCGATCCAACTCCGCCCGGCCCCCGGCTGCCCCGGCGCTCACCGGGCTGTTGCGGGAGGCGGGAGGCGGGAGGCGGGAGGCGGGAGGCGGGAGGCGGGAGGCGGGAGGCGGGAGGCGGGAGGCGCGAGCAGGGGCGGCAGCGGCAGCGGGCGGGCGCCGGAGGAGGCCACTCCGCACCGCGCGGTATTGTTTCCAAAATACGCCCGCTCCGGGCATCCCGCAAACAGCTGATGAGGCCCCGCCTCCAGCGCGTCACGCCAGCGGCTAGCCAATGAGGAGTGAGCCCCAAGTCCCGGGCTGGTCGGCTGCCAGGGACGGTCAAGAATGTACGAACCTTCCCTTGGAAACATTGCAAGGGGCCGAGTAAAATTTTGACCCGCGCCAGAAACGCAATTGGTGCGTCATCGTCCACGCAGATTCTGTTCCTAACGCAAGCTCGGGAAGCACCGGAGAGTCCCCGAGCCCGTTCGATTAGGAGCGAGCGAGGGGGCGCCAAAGTGACTTTTGTCTTCTTTTTCGGCAATGGGCTAAATAAGTACGGCGTTGAAACAGGGAGGGAAGGAGGGGGCGGAGAACTTTTAGACGCGGCTGGTGGCGTCCAGTGGGCACAGGTGCGGGTCCCTGTGGATCCCGGCCTGGTGGCAAAGCACCCTCCCGCTTGCCGAGCGAGTAAGGAGAAAAATCCAGCCCCAAATCTGTAGGAAGCCTGGGAACATGTGTATAGAACTGTTACTGAGTGACTTTTCAGATTAAATACATCCAAAGGGACCCTCAGGTCCTCTTCTTGACTGGGCCTGGACAGACAAAATAAGCATCTGTCTGAGGAGAGGAGTGATCAAGAATGCTGGGACTGCTTGAGCAGTTGACACACATCCTGTTTATGGCCGCATCAGGAGGTGGTGCTGGTGCTGCAGGAGAGCAAACTACCGGGAAGGGAGTCTGTGGACTATTTCACATTAATTGAGCACCTGTATTGTGCTGGGTACTGGGCTAGGTGCCCAAAACCTGGTGCCTGCCCTCAGGGAGCCTACAATCTACTTGGAGAGGTAGACGTGAAAATAATGGAAAGCAGTATGAAATGTGTTAATTTCAGGGATAATGACTGCTGGGAGATGCAGAAAAATTCAGAATGCAAAGACTAGGAAAGGTTTTATGGAGAAGGCTTTTGAGTTGGGCCTTGAAGGATGGGGAAATTTTTCAATAAGGAAAACCAGATAAAACAGCCCAGGCCTAGGTGCAGCAGAATATAGTAAACTGGGGAATCTGTTCTGGGAGCAGGCTGGAGAATGGGATCATTGGGTGCACACTGGGATTTAGGAAGGTTGGGCATGGACAGGTAGGTTTAAGTCAGGGGACAGAGGTGTCCCAAGAATGCCAGGTTGGGGAATCTGTACTTATTCTGGAGGCAAAGCGGAGCCAGCAAAGATTTTATAGAAGATGAGTGACTTGTCCAAGCCTGAATTTTAGGAAAGATGAAAGATGAAGCCATGCCCTGGCCAGTTTGGCTCAGCGGTTAGAGTGGAGAGACCCGGGTTCGGTTCCCGCTAAGGGCACGTACTTCGGTTGCAGTTTGTCCCCGGCCCTGGTTGGTCATGCGGGTGTGGCAGCCACTCGATGTGTCCCTTCACGTCAATATTTCTCTCTCTCTCTCCCTTCCTCTCTCTCCCTCCCACTCTATCTGTACAAAAAAATGGAAAAATATCCTCGGGTGAGGATAAAAAAAAAGAAAGAAAGATGAAGCCATAAATGAGTGAGAGGGAGCCAGTCCCTGCAAAAGACTAGATGATCAATTATGGGTCCTACCCCAGTGACAGTGGGGACTGGTGGTCTTCTGACTACCAAGCTGCTCTCTCTGAGTTGTAAACTCAGACAGATTTAAGTGCAGCTGGGATCCTTACTCCAGAGGAGCCCGAAGCCATACTTTTTTCCTACCCATTCTTTCCCTGGTGCCCTCAAAGATCACCTGAAAGAGAGCACACCAAGCAATATTGAGGGGTGTGGTTACTAAAGTAAGAAAACACTGTCCCAAAAGGATGGAGAAGAGGGAAAAAGGAAAGATGGAATAGTCAAGGTTGGCCAGCAGCCCAGTCCCCCCAGGAGTTGACAGACATCCAAAAAGAGGTGCTGGAGCCAAAAGGAGATATATTATTTTACCAGGAGGCTTGGCCAAGAGGGAGTGTCAGAACCTCTTATGCCACATGTGGGGAGATGAGGAGACCAAACCTAGCCTCTGTGCAGGGTTCTTGCCATCTTCACCATGCACATATCTCCTCCTCCTTCCTCCCATCCTTCTTATTGGCTTTCCTCCTGGGCCAGTATTTCAGGCTGGCTAGTGATGGGAAGTATTTAGGGTAAAGAGCGGAACTGAAGGACAAAGCAGTTCTGAATCTGTTCTCTGGGGTAGCACAGGCCCCGGGGGCAGGGGTCATCCAAATTCTCCTGACCCTCTCAAGCTGCTAAAGCTGTCTGCTTCATCACATACCTGTAAGGTGGAATTGGGTCCACAGAGCAAGGAAGCTGGTGGAACAGGGTGTTACCTGGGATCCGTCTATTTTCCAGACTCACCAGGGTCTCCTCAGCGTTAGGGTCTGTGAACCCATGAAACTGGCTAAATTCTGCATGGGTTCACACAAGCATTTTTGGAGAGGTGATGTCATAGCTTATAACAGTTTCCCAAAGGGGTCTGTGACCCTATAAAAGGTTAAACATCATCACTGTAGGGTAATGGGGCTGGGGAGCAGAGGGAATCATCTTAGTGGGTCTGGGCAGTTTGCAAGATGAAGGGAAGGTCACACCCTCTAGTGACATTTCTTCTAAGACCTCTCTCCCAGGCTTTCCCAGGCTGCTCCCTCAGGCTAGTTCTAAAGGACACCTGGTGTCTTGGCCTCCTGTGCTGTCAGCCTCTAAGGTCAAGCAGCAGGGGCCCAGCCTTCTGAGTCAGAGGGATCAGAAAAGACTGTCAGGGATAAAGGGGTCAGGGAGGTCAGGAGCCTCACTCCCCACCTCTCATCACTGTCAAAGCAGACCCCTCCCTTTCTGCCCTTTCTCCCCTGCCAGACAGGGCAGACTCAGCAGAGTCAGGACCTGCTGGGCTAGAGATCTGGGATCTGAGCCCCCTGTCCAACAGAAGCACACTAGTAACAGACGAACCCTAGGCTTTTGACTGGGCTCAGAGCAAATGCACATTGCAGCTGCAGCAGCCTTTATTTTGGAGAATTTCCTTTCTCTTTCTCTTCCCACCCCTTGCCCCAATTTGTTTTCTCTTCTGCTGACTGATCCTGGCTCTAGAAGAGGGTCCCCAGAGAAAGACAAAGTTGTTCTGAACAGCATCAGTGTGCAGGCCTGAGAGGGAGGCAGACCTTCCCCCACAATCCGGGAGGGATGCAAAGGGTTAAGGGGAGCGCTTTCAACAGAAGAGAAAACCCAGCTCCCAGTAGACAGCAGGCAGGAGCCCTCTCCATTGTTTCACCTGGCTATAGGATTTCTCTCTGAGACAAGGAATGGGCTCTAAAACTCTGGTAACTGGATCACTGGGAAGGGAGGTTTTTTAAAAACCAGCTGACAGCTGAATAATAGGAATTACCAGGCAGGCCGCCCTGGGGTTACTGAGGTTTGTAACTCAACCCCTAGAGAGGGGTTAGATTGGAAACTGATTTATGGGTAAGGTGGGGATCTTGCTGGGGGAGCCTATAGTACTTGACCCCCTTGCCTCTTAACTCCCAGGAGGAGAGATCCTGAATGTAAGAAAGACCACGAACCTGGAAGTCTTGTGTCCTTCCCTCACTGGACTTGCTCTAACAGAGTGAATTTATCTCTCTGTGCGTGGTTCCATCTGCCTGCATAGGAATTATTCCCTCTCTTCTGAGTTGCAGAGGGTGTGTGTGTGTGTGTGTGTGTGTGTGTGTGTGAGAGAGAGAGAGAGAGAGAGAGAGTTGCAGAACAGACAGCAGACAGACAGATTGGCTTCTGCTAATTGCATAAACAAGTGGAGAGACTTGATTTCCCAGTCAATGAGCTCACTACATG